TGATTGGAGACTGAATTGACGAGGTTGGCCTCACTTGTGTCACTAGCCCTGACCCCGTTGAGGTTGGAACAGAGGGAGTCTAGGGACCAGGGGGATAAGAGCACCAGTGGTGGTTGTTTGCGGCTTTTGCAGATGATGACTTTGGTAGGCAGAGTATCCTCTGATTTGGTTACCGGAATAGCAGGCAGAGCAGGTTCTGGGCAATACCCGATGTGCAGCAGGGCAATGTAGGTAGCCAGGACACAGGACAGGAGCAGGGTCATAGAGTAGCCAGAGTCATCAACCGTCGGGCAGCGAGGTACAAAATCAGCAGGAGAAGCCAGAGTCAAGAACAGAGCTGCAGTCAGGAACCAGGAGCAGGAGAATAGTAGGAGTCGGGTCAGGAGCAAGGAAACGTTCAGAAGCAAGCAGGACACAGGGGGGAGCAGAAGACCAGTCAGCACTGAATCAGCACCGAGGTGCTCTTTAAATAGCCCGCCCAGTGCCGACAGGCGCGCCTGGGTCCTAGTGCCTGCCCGGCGCCATCATTGGTGACAGGTGCGCCTGGATCCTAGTGCCCGCCTGCCTGTATGCCTTGTCGGGATCCTGCGCATGCGCAGATTCGTGCGCTGCGGCGATCTTCTCTTAGCCAGAAATCCCTTACAGGAAGGCAAAAAACCCAATAAAGCATGATCCAATTTGCTCCAGCAGGGGAAAGTTCCTTCCTGATCCCCCAAGAGGCAATTGGATATTCCCTGGATCAACTTTACCTATGAATATTAGTATTCAGTATTATGCACATTTAGGAAATAATCCAGGCCTTTTTAAGACAATCTACTGAGCTGGCCAGAACCAACTCCTGAGGGAGTCTATTTCACATTTTCACAGCTCTTACTGTGAAGAAGCCTTTCGGTATTTGGAGTGCCCCCTTGTCCTCTGTGATAACCTCAGGGTGAATGACTCTATACCGAGTTCACTATATGGACCACCTATCTGGAATATTCAGTTGAGTTTTGGGCACCAATTTACAAAAAGAACATCGGGAAACTGGAGAAAGTACAGAGAAGGGCAACCAAACTGATAAGAGGCATGGAGGAGAACAGCTATGAGGAAAGATTAGAGGAACTGAATGTATTCTCTCTTGAGAAGAGGAGATTAAGGGGGGATATGATCACCAAGTAAAATACATAGTTACATAGTTAGTCTGGTCCCAGACACCCAGCATCTTCCTCTGTCCTTTCTTCCTCCCCCTCTGCCACCCCTCCTCTCAGCTTAAGGATCATTCATGATGCGGCGGCATCCCACCTACATGCTGATAGGAGAAGAGAGCAGAGAGAGATGAGCTTGTTAGTCTTCTACTTCTCCTTTCACTGTCCAATCACTTTAATAGCATCCCAGTCTTAGTCTGTAGTGTCAAATATTGAGTTGTCCCACCCTTTGCAGCTATACCAGCTTCAACTCTTCTGGGAAGGCCGTCCACAAGGTTTAGGAGGGTGTCTTTAGGAATGTTTGAACATGATTTCAGAAGTACATTTGTGTGGTCAGGCACTGATGTCGGACAAGAAGGCCTGGCTCGCAATCTCCTTTTTAATTCATCCCAAAGGTGTTCTATGGGGTTGAGGTCAGGACTCTGTGCAGGCCAGTCAAGTTCCTTCATCCCAAACTCACTCATCCATGTCTTTATGGACCTTGCTTTGTGCACTGGTGCGCAGTCATGTTGGAACAGGAAGGGGCCATCCCCAAACTGTTCCCACAAAGTTGGAAGCATGAAATTGTCCAAAATGTCTTGGTATGCTGACCCCTTAAGAGTTCTCTTCAGTGGAACTAAGGGGCCAAGTCCAAACCCTAAAAAAACAACCCCACACCATAATCTCCCCTCCACCAAACTTTACGCTTGGCGCAATGCAGTCACGCAAGTACCGTTCTATCAAGCGCCAAACCCAGACATGTCCATCGGTTTACCAAAACTGGCATATAGTGGAAGAGAGATGCTAACTGGAGGAGGGAGTGTAGGTTGGAGATGGTGGTGCTGAAGGATCATCAGCAATAGGAGATGGAGGGCAAGATGGAATTTGGCCCACACTTGATGTTGACGGAGCTGAAGGATCATCAGCAATAGGAGATGGAGGGCAAGATGGAATTTGGCCCACACCTAATGTTGATGGAGCTTAAGGATCATCAGCAATAGGAGATGGAAGGTGAGATGGAATTTGGCCCATACATGACATTGTTGGAGCTGAAGGATCATCAGCAATAGGAGATGGAGGGTAAGATGGAATTTGGCCCACACCTGGTGTTGACAGAGAGCTTAAGGATCATCAGCAATAGGAGATGGAGGGCAAGATGGAATTTGGCCCACACCTGATGTTGATGGAGCTGAAGGATCTTCAACAATAGGAGATGGAGGGCAAGATGGAATTTCACTCACACCTGATGTTGATGACACAGGTTTTTTGATGTATTCAATTCTGTCTACCCTCTGGAAAAAAATGATCCAGTGATGTCTGAGTAGTAGCTCTTTTTTTTTCTCATCATAGATGGCTCTGTATCACCTTTTCCTCTTTACTGATGTAACTTCATTCTGACATCCTCTTCCAGTACAGTTCTGTCTCATTGACGTTAAAAACCTGTTGGGGTAAATAAGCACCTTCATCAATAATTTCTCTAAGTGTTGCTGGAAATTCTTTGGCAGTTATGGTATCTGCACTCGTAGCCTCACCACCTACTTTTACGTTGTGAAGGTTGGCTCTAGCCTTGAATCTGTTGAACCATCCATGGCTGGCAGTAAAAGATGCACACTATTCCCCCCGTTTTTTTATTCAAGTCTTTAAACAGGTTTTTAGCTTTTTCTTGAGTAAGCATTAAGCTGAGTGGGACTCGACACTGATGCTGATCCTGCATCCACACAGAGAAGTTTCTCCATCTCCACTATCACTTTACCATGCTTTTGGATATTATTATTGACTTCGCTGGCACGGCAGACTTCACATGTTCCATGATGTTGTCCATGTTCTTTAGAATTGTGCCAATGGTTGGTTATGGTTATAAGAATGAGCGACATCTACCATCTTTTTGTCTCGGTCCAATTTCTCAATTATTTTCACTTTTGTTTCCATGGTTATTGCTTTGCGCTTCCTAGCAGTCCCCTCCACATCACCACTGCTTTTCCTCTTGCTTCCGGCCATCCTGGGCTCCGTACAGTACACTATCACACTGTACAGTAAGCACACAGCGGCACAACTGTGACAATGTGCAACAGACACATGAGCTACTTCTGCGATTTGTTCGCATCTACGAATGTTCATAATGCGAGGTCCGTTCGTATCTGTGAAAGTTCACAACTCGAATGTTCGTAAGTCAGGGACTTACTGTATATCGATTGGTTTGTGTGAAAGTTATAGCATCTACAAGCTATGATACATATACTGCAATGTATGCAGCTATAGACGCTATGCTGGTAATGGCGGTGATCAGCGACTTATAGTGGGATTATGATAGTGTGGAGGGCAATCTGGCACTAAAAGACAAATGCTGGGAGGTACACTAACTAACTGACATTAACATCAATAGTGACACTAATGCAGCAATCAGATATAATACTGTACACTGTATTAATGACACTGACTGGTAAGGAGTTTACATAAAGGGGCAATCAATGGTTTAACTGTCTGCCTAGCAATGTGCAATGTGTGTAATGTGTACTGCTTTTACTAACTAATTTGGCTGTTTGATCTACCTGCTTTGCAGGGAGAAGAAACAGCCAGATTGCTGTGATGTGAATATAGAGTCTTGTGTTTTTGTAAACACAGGACTCTGTTCTGAGATTGGACAAAGCCGATCAGCAGGTATACAGCCAAAATCATTGGCTGAATCATGCTGAATAACTTGTGTCCAAGAGTCCACATCACAGGTCAGTAGGGGGCATGCGTGAGTGCCTGAAAACTAGGGAGCAGGCGGGGGCATACTGGTATGTTGGGTGGCCTGTCTGTAGGCAGGCAGCAAGTGGTTAACAGACTCCCCTTCCCCTATAGCAGTGATGGCGAACCCGTGGCACGCGTGCCACAGCCGGCACGCCGAGCCTTATCTGTGGGCACGCCAGGAGAATCCAGCGGCGCGCTGTCTTCCCGGCTGTAGTGTGCGTGACAGCCGGGTCCCAAGTGCGCATGCACAAGAAGCAGTGCTCTTTGTGAATTGTAAGGCGGTACCTGGGACACATGACAGATCCCAGAAGCCGCCGGACCAATCACAAAGCGCAGCGCTTCTCGCGCATGCGCACTGGGCATCCGGCTGTCCGCCCACACTACAGAAGCCGGGAAGACAACGCGCGGCTGGATAAAGGAACAGGTAAGATAAAAAAAAAACTCTGCGGAAGTAAGAGCGGGTACCTGTCAAATTCAGGTACCCGCTCCCTCTCCCTCCCCAAAGGTCAGCAGTCATCCCTGTACTGTCCGCAGTCTCTGGTCATCCCTGTGCTGTCCGCAGTCTCTGGTCATCCCTGTGCTGTCCGCAGTCTCTGGTCATCCCTGTGCTGTCCGCAGTCTCTGGTCATCCCTGTGCTGTCCGCAGTCTCTGGTCATCCCTGTGCTGTCCGCAGTCTCTGGTCATCTCCTGTACTGTGTCCGCAGTCTCTGGTCATCCCTGTGCTGTCCGCAGTCTCTGGTCATCTCCTGTGCTGTCCGCAGTCTCTGGTCATCTCCTGTACTGTGTCCGCAGTCTCTGGTCATCCCTGTACTGTGTCCGCAGTCTCTGGTCATCCCTGTACTGTGTCCGCAGTCTCTGGTAATCCCTGTACTGTCCGCAGTCTCTGGTCATCCCTGTACTGTGTCCGCAGTCTCTCTGGTCATCCCTGTACTGTGTCCGCAGTCTGTACTGGTCCGCAGTCACTGGTCATCCCTGTACTGTGTCCGCAGTCTCTGGTCATCTCCTGTACTGTCCGCAGTCTCTGGTCATCTCCTGTACTTTCCGCAGTCTCTGGTCATCCCTGTACTGTCCGCAGTCACTGGTCATCCCTGTACTGTGTCCGCAGTCTCTGGTCATCTCCTGTACTGTGTCCGCAGTCTCTGGTCATCCCTGTACTGTCCGCAGTCTCTGGTCATCTCCTGTACTTTCCGCAGTCTCTGGTCATCCCTGTACTGTGTCCGCAGTCTCTGGTCATCCCTGTACTGTGTCCGCAGTCTCTGGTCATCCCTGTACTGTCCGCAGTCTCTGGTCATCCCTGTACTGTCCGCAGTCTCTGGTCATCCCTGTACTGTGTCCGCAGTCTCTGGTCATCCCTGTACTGTCCGCAGTCTCTGGTCATCTCCTGTACTGTCCGCAGTCTCTGGTCATCACCTGTACTGTGTCCGCAGTCTCTGGTCATCTCCTGTACTGTGTCCGCAGTCTCTGGTCATCTCCTGTACTGTGTCCGCAGTCTCTGGTCATCCCTGTACTGTGTCTGCAGTCTCTGGTCATCCCTGTACTGTGTCTGCAGTCTCTGGTCATCCCTGTACTGTGTCTGCAGTCTCTGGTCATCTCCTGTACTTTCCGCAGTCTCTGGTCATCCCTGTACTGTCCGCAGTCACTGGTCATCCCTGTACTGTGTCCGCAGTCTCTGGTCATCTCCTGTACTGTGTCCGCAGTCTCTGGTCATCCCTGTACTGTCCGCAGTCTCTGGTCATCCCTGTACTGTGTCCGCAGTCTCTGGTCATCCCCTGTACTGTCCGCAGTCTCTGGTCATCCCCTGTACTGTCCGCAGTCTCTGGTCATCTCCTGTACTGTTCGCAGTCTCTGGTCATCTCCTGTACTGTGTCCGCAGTCTCTGGTCATCTCCTGTACTGTGTCCGCAGTCTCTGGTCATCTCCTGTACTGTCCGCAGTCTCTGGTCATCTCCTGTACTGTGTCCACAGTCTCTGGTCATCCCTGTACTGTGTCCGCAGTCTCTGGTCATACCTGTACTGTGTCCGCAGTCTCTGGTCATCTCCTGTACTGTGTCCGCAGTCTCTGGTCATCCCTGTACTGTGTCCGCCGTCTCTGGTCATCCCTGTACTGTGTCCGCAGTCTCTGGTCATCCCTGTACTGTCCGCAGTCTCTGGTCATCCCTGTACTGTCCGCAGTCTCTGGTCATCCCTGTACTGTGTCCGCAGTCTCTGGTCATCCCTGTACTGTGTCCGCAGTCTCTGGTCATCCCTGTACTGTTAATTAGTTTGCACTACTGTACGAGTTTGTTTTTTCTAAACCAAAAGCTCGATATTCAGGTTTCATTGCAGTGTTGGCACTTTGAAAGAAATAAGTTGGTTTTGGGTTGCAGTTTGGGCACTCGGGCTCAAAAAGGTTCGCCATCACTGCCCTATAGCATTGTCACAGTGCCACCTACAGGAAAGAAGAATGCCTGCACCTGCCTATAAGCAAGTCCCTTGCACTGCAGCATAACTGACTAGCTTTCTGTGCTGCTTCTCCCTCTTCCAATCTGAGCTCTGCTGTACAGGGACCGATGCCAAGCTAAATTCAAGTAATTACACTGCATGCCTTTACAATAAATGCAATAAAGAGTATATTAATGATTCCAAAGATACATTAATTTGTGTATTTCATAACTGCCTGGAGTTACTGACAACGTTCCCTCATGTTACCCCCTGTGGCCCTTCAATAAACATAGCACACTTGGAAACTCTATGATGGGTGTGATGAAAGTCATCATTCTATACCCATTATGGGTTTTTTTTTTTCCTGAAACCTTGATTTTTGTTATTCCTGTCATGTTTACCATCTGTTTACCTAGATCCTTAGATTTAATTATCCCACTCGCTGCATACCAATGTGTTCTCATGTAGCCGGAATACCAATTAAATTCTGTTGCTAGGTTTACGATAGAAGCTACAGAAAGTTAGAAGCCCATAAAAGTGATTTCAGAGGAGCTGATGTACCAAGCTTAGAGGTGAATGCAGTCCTTTTATAGGACTGGATCTTTGTTAAAGCATTGCTAATTAAAGCTGAAAAAAAGAAAAAAGTACCTAAAAATAGTTCCATGTTTCAGCACAAAAACTGAACTACAGGTAGATATAAAAGACACAGACTCAGCAGCTCTGTATTCAATAAAACATCATTAAAATTAGTGTTTTAAATGCAAGTGAATGTGACTGCAGGCCCTGTACAGCAGAGCTCAGACTGGGAGAGGAAGAAGCAACACAAGGAGCCAATCAGCTCATGCGCTAACAAAGGGCATGTTGTCAGAAGGAGAGAGCAGAGTAACATAGAAATGAGCTCATCATTGTGCTGCTTCTGCTTTACTGCTCTGTCTTTGACTTTTGGTGAGCCCATGATGGCCTGGGCTCAGAAGAAGTGGGTTGATGCTGACTGTCATTCATCCCAGAACATCCCATTCAACCCAAGGACATCTTGCGGGTAAAAGGGTTATTGCTGGGGACAAATCCCAAATAAGGGTGATTATTTCAGCAAAAGCTGTTTAGTTTTGTGATTATTGTTGGCTTGTGTTCTGCTTTAAAGAAAAATATGGTGTGTAGCATTACCCCCTTAAGTGTTCCTGAAGTTTTGGGACCTCCTATAGTTCTGCACAGCCAAGCAACATACATTTTCCACACAGACTATCATCCAGGAGACAGTAACCAGTTCTTGAGCTTGGTTTTGTAATTTTATTAAGGGGTTTAGAACTTGGATGGAGTAGGGGTGTATGGGAATGCCCAAAGAAACGGCAACTGAGACTAATCTTCTTGGAACTATGTACAAGTCTCTTTAAACAACATAAGTTGCTTCTGGAGAGCTAGCCAGCTTCTCCTAGTGTACCACCTCAGACCCCAGATGCTCCTCTATCCAGCTGTCTAAAGGTATCCCTGGGCTGGGGATCCAGTGCCTGTCACCTTAAATGTAAGCCAGTCCCAGGTAGAAAGCTAATCCAGATTCCAACTAGAATGCTCCATCCCCTTACTGGCCCAGGGGGTGTAGGTCTACTCACTCAGTCCTCATCTGTGAGCAGATGGGTCGGTGGTTGCTTCCATGCCTTCTGCAAGGCCGCTCCTTCCCTGCTACACAGGTGGTCCTTGCTCTTGGGGTCGTTGAGATCCTGAGCTTTCCTCCTTTTCAGCTCCACTGACTGGAGGTAAGCCTCTTCCCAACTGGGCCCCCTCCCAGGCTCCTGCTCTTCAGCCTCTCACTTCATCTTCCAACTGAACTCTCCTGCTGCTTAGCAGGCTCCACCACAATTGAAGGCTGCCCTGGCCCCATGCCAAGCCTCCTGCTTGGGGATTGGCTAATGTCCTCCAAGTGTGCAGGCCCCTCCTTATCTCTGCCCACTGCTTCTAGAATCTTCTCCAAGATTCTAGAGCGGGGGGGGGGGGGGGGGGGGGGGTATCAGGGAACTGACCTGCAGAGCCTCGCAGCTCTGACTGAATTTTGACCCAACTAACTATGACACCCAGGCTGCTACTCAGCCCTCCAACTGAAAATTGAACTCTAGTTCCCCCTGGCTATCTAGAGGGTGTTACAGGTGTATATTCAGTGAGCTAAATTTTGAGATATTATTGCAATGCTCACCTTGAATTTATTTTTAATATATATCATTATATTTTTACTATTGTGCTAAACAAAGAAACATATACATTAACTAGTATAAACATCTCTAAGAACGATTACCCAGCACTATTCAACTGACTTCCTGTAAGCCAAGAGTGTCAATGACAGCCACTTCCTGTGAGTCCAGGATGTCAAGGGCCACAACTTTCTGTGATCCCATGTTGTCAAGGGTCGCAATTTCCTATGAGCTCATGGTGTCAAGGGTATCCACTTCCTGTGAGCCCAGGGTGTCAAGGGCCTTCACATCCTGTGAGCCCAGTGTGTCAAGGGTCTTCACTTCCTGTAAGTCCAGGGTGTCAAGGGCCATCACTTTCTGTGGGCCCAGGGTGTCAAGGGCCTCCTCTACCTGTGAACCTGGGGTATTAAAGGCTGCCATTTCCTGTGAGTCTAGGATGTAAAGGTCCTCCAATTCCTGTGAGCCCAGGGTGTCAAGGGCCTTTATGTCCTGTGAGCCCAGTGTGTCAAGGGTCTTCGCTTCCTGTAAGTCCAGGGTGTCAAGGGCCATCACTTTCTGTGGGCCCAGGGTGTCAAGGGCCTCCTCTTCCTGTGAACCTGGGGTATTAAAGGCTGCCATTTCCTGTGAGTCTAGGGTGTCAAGGTCCCCCACTTCCTGTGAGCAGAAGCTGTTCCCAAGAACAGAGTTGGTCTTTAATGTAATTTGTGAACCCAGGGTATTAAGGGCCACCACTTTCTGTGAGCCCAGGGTGTCAAAGACCGCAACTTCCTGTGAGCCCAGGGTGTTAAGGGCTGTCACTTTTTGTGAGCCCAGGTTGTCAATGGCTGCTCCTTTCTGTGAGTCCCGAGAGTCAAGGGTAGTGACTTCCTGTGAGCCCAGGGTGTCAAGGGGCTCCACTTTCTGTGAGCCCAGGGTGTCAAAGGCCACCACTTCCTGCAAGCCCAGTGTGCCAAGGTGCTCCACTTCTTGTGAGCTCGGGGTGCCAAGGGCTTTCACTTCCTGTGAGCCAATGCTGTTTCTAAAAACAGAGTTGGGCTTTAATGTAATTTCAGGGTTTTTTTAATATTTTTTCTTTAAACCTGCCCATTTCATTTAAAGAATACCTGGTGCTTCTTTCATGAGGATCCTTTTTCAGGTGCTTTCTGTTGTAGGGAGACAACTGTCTCCTATTTGTGCTGTTGTGTTGTCACCCTGTCTGTGATTATAAGTAACTGCGCCAACACACATTTTGAAAGCATTGTCTACCATTGTCAATAGCCGGTCCAGAAGAATGATGAAACGACGAGGCTGCAGTGAGTGCATGGAAGGACTGAAAGAGGATGGAAAGCATCAGCAGTACTGAGATGTAAAAAAAAATAGTATCAAAGGTCCATGTGATGGTTCTGACTAATTAGAATCCCTATAGTCCATACTGCAAGGAGAGGAGAGAAATCCGCAGGGCTTTCAAATCCTCGGACTGGGGAAGCGGCTTTTCAATGTCTGACAGCGGGGGATCAGCAATCTGGTACATTTGGACTGGGGGGATGGGGAGGGAGTCCAGTGAGTAGCTGGAACTGCTGGAGGCTGGGGGGGGAGAGAGCCATGGGAGAGGCAGGAGGAGCCCAAGCTGCAGTTGTTGATGTTCACAGTTGGATCGGGAGTCGAAGATGGTGGAACCCATCATGCAGGCAAATTTCCTGCACCGCTTCTGCGTGAAGTCAGACTAAGGCTGGCCATACATGGGTCAAAAATCGACCGATTTTTTCATTCGAAAATCGCACCTAAGAATAATTGGCCGATTTTTGCTCTGTTAGTGGGTCAACAGCACCGGCCGGTTTTCATGGTTCCTCCCCTTTTCGGTGATTGAGCATGTTGGAAAATTTGTGAAAAACAACCGATTTTCGAATCAATGATGGTCAAATTGTAGAATTGTTTTTCCGAAAAGAATATGCGCATGAGCCGTGACCTGGAAGGAA